TTATTATTATTATTATTATTATTATTATTATTATTATTATTATTATTCACAAAAATGACAGTATACACAGCAAACAGATAACCATGCTGGGTTTCGTATCACAAATCACTAGTCGAACACTTCCCAAGTGTTTAGGACTGCGTGATGTATCGGCGGATTATGCGAGCAGATCCCAGTAAGGTGGCCTTCTGCAGCTGACCAATGGTGATCTTGTCAGTGCCAATTGTTTTTATGTGCTTTCCTAGGTCTTTAGGCACAGCACTTAAATAATCTAAATTATTATTATTATTATTAATTATTATTATTATTATTATTATTATTATTATTATTATTATTATTTTATATCATGATTATTTTATGAGATAATATTCTGTTAGTCTCACCACTACATGCAATAAATATTGTGGAAAAACTTTTTTTTCATTTGCCAGGATAATTTTTATATTTTTACTTACTTTGTTTTACTTTATTGTATGAACTATTTGGTATCAGTTTTCATCTTAAAGGGAAAACAAAGTTTACCCAAAGGTTTTCGAAGAATTTTGAGAAAATCTCTTAACCAATGCATTGATTTATTTTGCTTGCTAACTGCTTATTTCTAAGACATACAGCACTGAGACTTATCAATATAAACATACTAAAGGTATTTCTTTCTATGCCCAATTTCAACTTTTAAAAATTTCCAGCTCAGGAAAAAAATGAATGTTTTTTAGAAATTATTTATAAGTAAAATGTACGGTTTTCATCTCAAGTACTGACTTTGCCTTGTTAAATGAATCTGGTTATAACTAAGTTTTTTAAAAAAGAACTTCTGTTCTCTCATATCTAATAATTATTTTTGCATAGATTTCTGAAACAATGCTTTCCTTTCTATAAGTACATGTAATTCTGTGTGATAACAGACAGTTAAGCACTATTCTAATTAAAAATCTCACCATTTAAAATATATAATGAAATATGTAATATGTAATTTTAATGTACCACAATAATTAGGAAACCAGCAGGAAGTTATTTAAGATCTAGAACCATGAAAAGCAAAAATGCATGTGATGCCTGAAAGAAGGTACACAAGTCAAACTGACTTGCTGAAGCTCCATCCTGTTAAAGAATGCCGTATTTTATCATGAAGTAAAACTCATTCATTCATTCATTCCTCAAATTTATACAATCGCCCATCTCACAGTAAAGTGACTAGGCAGCTTACAATAAAATCAATTATAAAATAAAAATAAAACAGCTACAATTAAAAGGCATGAACAATATTATTAACAACATGGTGGAGAAAATTGGCATTAAAAACAAGGCAGCCATTTCCTCAAATCACTATTGCTTTGAGATCCCCGGTGTGTTCACACAACCATGTTTTAAGGGTCTCCTGAAAAAATGACAAGGATGCAGCCTGTTCCACTGGAACAATGAGACAATAGTGGGTGCCACAGCAGAAAAGGCCCGTCTCCTGGGTCCCATCAGATGAAACCCATTTGCAGCATACCTGCTGGACAGATGGAGACGGACCATCCCTCAGACACCGCAATTCCATACCACGAAGGCCCTTAAGGTCAAAACCAGCACCTCGAATTGGATCTGGAAGCAGACTGGCAACCAATGCAGCTTGTGGAGCGAAAGTGTAACATGAGCCTATTCAATGTTACTTGCAGTAATTACAGTATACTGATATATAAAATCTATGCATTAAGAACAGATTTCTTTAAAAATGTTTCAGTATCATCTGACAGTTCAATTTCTTGATAAACATAGAAAAAAAAATACAGGAGAGAGACATCTGGCCTTCCACAATAGGCTTTAGCTAGGCCTGTAGACACATCTAGCAGCTAATTATTTTCTACCAATTTCTTTTTCTTTGAATATACTGCAGAATATGTTCGCATAAAAAGTCACCTACTTTACAAAAAAAAAAGATCATGCAATGCAGTTCTCAGTGTGATTATACTTACACCCAAAAACAAGTGATACATTTGTCTCTTAACATTTTCCTGTCAGCTACACTAATTTGAAGTCTTGCACATGCATAAATAGATGTTTACTGACAATCCAAAGCAGGCTGCTGCTATTTTCTCAGTTATTCTAACAAGTAGGCTATATTCATAGCTTACCAACCTGTTAGAAAAGTGCCATACCTTGTGTGGGATCGCACGAAACCTCCTTTTTTGAAACAGACTACTAAGCACTGAAGAAACACACATAACTTTTTATTATTTTTGGAAAAGAAATTGAACTCTCTAAATACAACAAAAGAAATACAGGTAGTCCTTGACTTACGACCACAACTGAGCCCAGAATTTATGTTGCTAAGAGAGAAATTTGTTAAGTGAGTTTTTGTCACATTCTACAACTTTTCTTGCCACATTTGTTAAATCAATCTCTGCAATTGTTAAATTAGTAGCCCAGTTATTAAGCGAGTCTGTCTTCCCCATTGACTTTGCTTGTCAGAAAGTCGCAAAAGATGGTCATATGAACCTGGGACACTACAGCCGTCATAAATATGAATCAGTTGTCAAGAATTAGAATGTAAAATGTGACTGTGGGGATGCTGCAATGGTCATAAGTCCCTTTTTTTCAGTACTGTTGTAACATCGAACAGTCACTAAACAAACTGTTGTAAGCCAAGGACCAGGGATGAGATTCTACAGATTCAGCCCAGTTCTATAGTTCCGAAGAGCAGCTGACACAGAACCGGGTTCGCTTCTTTTCTTCGGCTAGGCTCACCCGACTGCCCGAGCTTTAGGCTGTCCTTTATTCCCTGATAAAACAACCTTATTAGTTGCTTTGCGTGGCAGAGCTGAGTGCCGCTAGCATCAGCAGAAGGTTATTCCTTGCAGGAGAAGTTGATTTACAAGTGCTGCGTGCGCGCGCTTTCAACGAACCGGTTGTTATGCCGGTGGGATCCC